GGTGAGAGGGAGATGGTGGACTGAGAAGAGGAAGAAGAAGAACTTTCTCTCTCTCATGTGCCAGGTACTAACCTGTGAAAATGGCGCCGTGCTGCAGGTACCTCGAAGGCAAAGCTGGAGCTATGGCGCTGCACGTAAGTCTCCCTGGCCTCCGCCCAATCTCTCTCTCTCTAGTACTACTCTAGCTCCTAATAACGCCCATCGCTGAGGACTACTGCTAACGCTACTAGCGCCCAGCGCTAAAGACTACTGCTAGCGCTACTACTACTGCAACGCTCCTCCAGAGTGCTGCGGCCGAATCCTAAAGACTACCTCCTGCCTCCTAAACTGCACGTGAAGTGCCTGGGAAGTACCTAGGAACTACCTGCAGCCTGCAGGGCTGGCCAGTCCTATATAGTGCTGGCCCGTCCAGGAGGCTGCTCTTGCCAATGCCAAAACGTGCCAGACCCTAGCGTTGAAGCTCAACCAAGGGTTGTCTTGAAAACAGGCCCAAAATGGCCTGTGCTAAAACCCTGGTTTCGTGCCTGAGTTTCAGGGCAGGTCGATCTTATGAGGGCCTTAAAATGGCCCTCAGTTTCAGGCTGAAAAGACTCAGGGCCGGAAAGTCCCTGATTTAGGCTGAAAGGACACAAGGCTTGTAGGCCCTTGTTTTCAGGCTTCCAGGCTGAAACGACACAGGGCCTGTAGGCCCTTGTTTCAGGCTTCCGGGCTGAAAACGACACGGGCCTGAAAATGGCCCGTGCAGCGTGTTGCAGGTGCAGCATGTAACACCCCCGCCTCCTTATGAAGTCAAGTCGGGTCAAGAGCGAAGCTGACGAACTGAAGGTGGAACCTGGATGCGGGTGCGACGTGGAGCCGAAGATACCAGCTTGCCTTGCATCTTGCGTTCGTAGCGTGCGAGACCATCCGGAGCTGTTGCTTGGAGTTCCGCACGGGTCAACCAACGGTCAGCTTTATGAGTACAGTACGCAAAGTGTACCAAGTACTTGGTTGGCATGTTCCCGTAGCGTCGCTGGGAGATGATGTTGCCGACCTCTTGAAAACCGTCCATAGAGGGTGGGTCTGGTGATCATCGCCCGGGAAAATCGTCATCTTCAGCTGCCGTGTAAAGAGCCAACTTGGAGCAATGAAAGACCGGGTAGACGGGCAAGTGGGAAGGTACCTGAATGGTGAAGGAAGGTCCTTCGGGTGCATCCCCAACGGGTGCCACGATCGGCCAAGGCCCCATCCATTTCGGGAGGAGCTTGCGAGAGAGATATTTTTCAAGGCTGAACTCCGTGGCGGAAACCCAAACGAGATCGCCGGCGCGGAACGGGCAAGGAAGACGCTGGCCATTGGCGTGTTGGCTCATACGTTGCTGCGTCTTAGCCATCTGGTCGCGTGCCTTGACAAGTAGCTCTTGCATCCGACGCAAGAAAAGAAGATGGTCGTCGCTCTCGGCCGTTCGTGGAATGATTGTGTCCAACGGAGAAGTGACCAGCGAGCCGTGCTCGAACTCGAAGGGCGACATCCCGATAGCCGGGTGGATGGACGAGTTGTATGCCAACTCGACATCCGGCAGCCGCTCAACCCAATCCTTTTGGTTGGGACGGATGAGAGTGCGAAGGAGAACCTGTGCGGTCTGATGCGCCCTCTCTGTTTGGCCATCGGTTTGGGGGTGGTGAGCCGAGCTTGGCTTAAGAGATGTGCCTCATCGTTTGATGAGCGCCAACCAAAAATCGGACATGAACCGAGTGTCGTGGTCGCAGATGATTTCCTTGGGGTAACCCTTCGTTCGAATCCAACCGGCGTAGAGAACCTCGGCCAACTCCGGTGCCTTGGCATGATAGCGGGAAGGCAAAAACATGGCGAACTTGGTGAGTCAGTCGACCACCGTGAGAATCCCATCCACTCTGGTCTTGTGCTTGGGGAACGGGCCGGTAATGTCCATGGCAATCGCTTCCCTTCGCCGCAAAGGGACTGGTAATGGTCGCAACTCACCGTATGGACGATGGTTGCTGGATTTGCAGCATCAGCAAACCTTGCGTGACTCGCAATAGCGGGTGACGTCGCTGAGAAGGCCGGGCCACCAAAATCACTCGCGAAGTCGGCCAAGCGTACGATTGACTCCAAAGTGTCCGGTGGCGGGAGCATCGTGGAACTCGCCAAGAAGCTATGTATGCAAGTGAGGGCCACTCGGTACGCAAAGAAGGTCCTTCCCCCGTGTGTGGACAAGCAAGTACCCCTCTTGGATCCGGTAGTGAGAAGGTGCCGGATTAGGAGAGGAGCAATTCGCGTACTTGTCCAGAAACTCAGGGTCGGCTTGGTAGTCGCGGATGAAGATGTCCCGCAGGTCGTTGAATAGACCGCGATACAATGATCCGGATGCCGTGAAAGAGCATCCGCAAGGTTCGACTTCCCTGGAATGTGATCGGGAAAGAAGTCGAACTGGTCGATGAAAGCCATCCATCGAGCGATGGTGCTGTTGACGGTGTCTTGGGTCTTGTAAAAGACCAATGGATTGTTGTTCGTTACCCATCGGAATTGACTTCGACCCAGGAGGAAGTGCCGCCACCGCTTGAGCGTGTGGACGAAGGCGAGGAGCTCCTTCTTGCGTGCATCATCAATGGAATGCACGATGGACACTTTTTTGTTGAAGTACTCGACCGGGTGCCAGTCCACACCATCATGTTGCTCGAGGACGGCACCAATGCCATAGCCGGACGCATTCGTAGTGACACGCGTTGGCAATACCGGGTCGTATATGCGCAAGACCTCCGCAGATAATAGCGCAACTTTGAGAGCCAAAAATGATTCTCGCGCATCCTCCTCGAAGTCAAACGGTCGATCCTCGCATTGAAGCTTGGTCAAGTGGGCTGCGATCTTCGAGTATCCCTTGATAAAACGTTGGTAGTAGCCGGCAAGGCCAAGGAACGAACAGACATCCATGACGTTCCGCGGCTCGGACGACTCTTGGATGGCTTGAATCTTGTCCGATAGCGGACTGATGCCCTCCAGTGTGACAAAATGGCCCAAGTATTCCAGCTCTTGCCGGACAAATTCGCACTTGTCGCGGTTGGCCTTGTACTTGGCGTGGCGGAGCCAACACTCGTTGAAGATGCTCAAGATGATCCTCCAATGACCGGCTATAGACGAGAATGTCGTCAAAGTAGACCAGCACAAACTGGTCCAACATCGCACGAAACTCGTTGGTCATTGCCGCTTGGAAGGTCGCCGGGGCGTTGATGAGGCCAAAAGGCATGACCACCCACTCAAAATGCCCATACCGCGTCTTGAACGCGGATTTGTAACGATAATTCGGTCGGATCGAGATTTGATGATATCCGGACTTCAAATCAAACTTAGAAAAATACTTCGCACCGCCCAATGGCTCAAGAAGATCGTCGATGCGGGAAAGAGTCCCTGCATTCTTGACGGTTTGCGCATTGAGATTGCGGTAGTCGATGCACAATCGTAGATCTTTGTTCTTCTTCTGTACGAAGAGAACTGGCGCTCCGTATGGAGAGCTACTACGGCAGATCCAGCCCTTGTCCAACAAAGCATCGAGTTGAGCGCAGAGGACCGTAAGCTCCTCCTCGCTCATGCGATAAATGCAACCTTTCCGTGGCACGACACTGGCCTCGAGAATGATCTCCTGAGAGATTGGCCGATCCGGCACCACACCGGTAGGTGATTCGAAGATGTCGGCGAACTAGTCAAGCAACTGCACCACACGAGGGTCCGAAGACAAGTCTGTGGGTGAAGAGCCGGCTACCACGACGGTCCGTAGGAAGCATAGGCCGATTTCGTCGGGCTGCTCGTAAGCAAAAGTAGCCCGGAATGATTTAGCCATCACCACTTGGTACCAAATCGAAGGGTGCGGAAGAGGAATAGTACACGACACTTCGGCGCCGAAGGTGTCGCGAACGGTAAGAGTCCGCCGGTGGAAGTTGACAGTGTGATCCGCACTTGCAAGCCAAGGCATTCCCAAAATAATGTCGAAGTTTGTGTCCAAAATGTCAAATGTCACCGGTTCGTATGCATGAGGTGCGAAATACACCGGTACGGCCTCAATGTAGTGGTGGATAAGTTGTTGCGTCCTTCCATCCACCAACTTCATCGCCGTCGGGTTTGCCTTCCTTCGAACTTGTGCGCCGAGGTCAACCTTTTGCATAAAGGCTTGGCTCATAAAATTGTGAGACGCGCCGCTATCCAGCAAGCGTTGCAGGACGCTTGCCCAACTTGGATGCGGACATAGAGGAGCGGTGCGTTGTTGTCGTCGCACCGCTGATTGCGAAACTCGCGGGCCACCTTGGTAATATATGCAAGGATGTCCCCCACCACGACTTCGTCATCCTGTCAATTTGAACTTTTTAGTCTTTTCTGTTTATCTAGATGACATGATGGGTCAATTATTTGCTTTATTTGTATGAAATGTAGCTGCTGCAGAATCTGCTATTGGGCTCACTATTCTTGTTATTACTTTTCGAATTCGTGGCACTATTGAAACCTACCGTCGGCGAAGTTGGTGGTGCATAGAAGGATAAGTACGTGTGAAGATGGGCGCATAATGCTGCGCATTGCGGTCCGACAAGCGGCCCGTGGTCGGGAGAGGAAGCCATGCGAAATCCTCGGACGTGAGCGCGTCCAATACCTCTATGTTGAACTCGCGGGCCGAATCCCGTGAAGAACCACTTGAAGATGATAAGTCACCCAGCGTAGGAACGAGCCGGGCAGCATAGTCCTCAGAAGAAAATAGAAGAGGAGGACTATGGACTTCCGCATATGCCTCGGAACGAAGGGCGGTCACCCGCGAAGTGACCGGTTCCGAAGGCGTCGAGAGTGTCGTCGAGTCACTCCCGACGGTGCTCAGTTTCCCGATTTTCCCTTGCCTTTCGACGGGCAGCCCATTGTGTCATGGAGATCGTTGTTACACCACATACAATAGCGGAATCTTGTGCGTGCCTTGTATGCTTGCTCGGAGAGACCGTAGTGGGACCATGGGGCCGGAGCTGCTGCGTCGGGCCTCGGGCTAGATGCAGTGTTTGTCTTCGCCTTGCCGCATCCTCAGCCTTTTCCTGGGCGGCCACCATCTCGGGCGGCTGCGAGTCTATCGCCTTCATTGTCAGACACGGCCTCGCTAGTTTGGTCGTTTGGCATTATCGCTGCGACCACGACAACTTTCGGTCGATGCTGATCTCTGCGCGGGCCTGTCGCAGACGAACGGTGGAGGTTCTTAGCCTCCTTGTTCGTGACAATAATCCGCGCGGCCTTGTCGAAGAGCTCCGCCGTTGTCGTCAGGGTGTCCTCGGCGCGAGTCAACGCATTGCCCAACGCCGGACACGACGTCGAGATGAAGTAGTGTTTGACGACCTTGAAGCCCATTTGAATGTCGGAGACGGATGTCACGCGTTGGTACTCGTCAATCCAGTCAACACTTGGCAGCGTGGATTGTTCGAAGGTCATCAGCTTGTCCGTTGCCTTGATCTTCGGCGGCTCTATTTGGAACCGCTTATGCCACGCCGCCTTTAGATCATCCCAGCTGATCTTGGTGTGCAAGTCGACAGCCACCACTACGTACTTGGACAAGAGACTGTCCAACCATGTTTGGCACGCGCCCCACTACCGAGAGTATAAGTACGCGTGGTGCTTGTGTTCGCTAACGTGGTGGAGCTGCAACTTGAGCTCGAACTTGTAGAACCATGGAATCGGGTCCGTCTTCGTCAAGTCGCAGAAGATCTCCTGATCATCGAACTTTGGAGTTGTCTCGCGCGGTTCCGATCTCGAGTGAGTGGCAGCAGTACAGATCTGCTACTCCAACTGTTGTGTTGCGGTTTGCTGTAACTGCATGCCATCCTTCAGGGATCCGACATCAATCTCCAATGCCTCGAGGCGATCAGAGGTGTTGGAGGAGCTGGCATCGGGGGCGGCAACGGGTCATTGCTCCAGCTGCTGTAGGCGGCTGCCGACTTGAGCTAACGCGTCGTCGAGGCTGTGGATATCCTCCTGCTGTGTAATGCATGTTGCCAGGAGGTTCGTGAGATGGGAGAGGAGTAGAGCGATCTTGTGTTCACTCTCTTCCATCTTGCCATTCTCGGCCTTGGCCCGCCAGTCCGCTGCCATTGTGAGCAAAGCTCGCTCTCCGCTGAATATTTTCTCGCGTCCTTAAATTTGTTCTTCATCGGCAGCCTTTGCTGCTGCCTCGTCGTGCTGGCGCTGCTGTTCGATTGCCAACAGACGTGCCTTCTTGGCGTCTTCTGCCTTTTTCTTTGCTGCTACTGCTACTGCATTCGACCATTGCTTGGCTTCGGTAATCAGAATCAGCATCCGGGTCTGATAGGCCTCGTCCGTTTCCCCGGACATCTGGTCCATGACGGCTGTTTGCGAGCGAGTGAGCATAGACCAGGCTGGGGGCCTGCTGACTTGGCACTGTCTGCTGTCATCTGCTGACGTAGTGTGCTGACGTGGTCTGCTGACGTGGCCTGCTCACCAATGCCGCCACAGGGGTTACCCGGAGACAGATAGAGAAGATAAGACCAGAGGGGGCAACAACATAGGTGGGGAGGGGTGGGTGGGATAAATCGCCCAGATAAGGAGCCACTAATCAAAAAAGAAAAGTTTGAACTTTGCAAAAAAGTTCGAGAAAAAGAAAACATACTCGTTTGCAAGTTCAGAAGGCCTCCCAATTCCCCCTGAAGTGCAAATGAATTCTAACTCGTCTTCTTCCTGCTTTGTCATGCCTGCAAACAGCGGTACARCAACTGGCGACATGCGCCCACACAGTACTCAAGATTCGTAACCAGATATGAGTTCTCTTCAACTGGCTATGGCGACTGGGCGCCCACACAGCTCACTGTTCGCACTCTGGATCACCCTGRATGTCCCACACGCAACACTCAGTATYATACACAATACACACACACACGATGCTACAGCTATGGCAGCGCTAGCTGCCTCTACCCTATCGCTACACTACACTTCTCTGCCCACTTCGTCTTCGGGCGCACTGGAGACCACCTCGCACAAGCTGCTAAAGCAGCGCTTCCGCCTGGCATCCACAGGAATGAATGAATGAATGGACGCAGCCTCTTGATTTATACTTCTGTGCTGCATTGGTCTGCCCTGTGTCCCTGGCCCATGGTGCACACAGTTCCCCCCGTGGTACTTGCTGGACCGGACTGGTACTTTCTAGACTCTCCTTGACTGTATGACGACGACCCTACGATGCAGTGCAATTGCACCGGGGTCCTACTATTTGACCTTGCCACTTGTCCTCATCTCCAACATGGGCTTGCTTTAGTCACACCACTTGCCCACTTGCCTGCACCACTTG